AGCAGCGAGTGGTAGGGATCGTGGTACAATGGAAGATGATCCTGCCATGGGGCCACTGTGGCAGGGAGGAGGCAGCGAGTGGTAGGGATCATGGAACTGAGAAGGAGGCCTCAACCACTGCCCTGCAGGACCATGGCCTAGGAGCCTGAGCAGGTGCCTCAGCACAGTCAGCAACCCAGGGCTCTACAGAGACTCTTCTCATGGTCAAACACTACCAATTTATCTTTAGTAAGAAGTTATAAATGCCAAATAAAACAGACCCCTTCAGGCTATGATTTGGGGAAAATATATCAAATTACTTTTAAAATGTTTGCGAATTTTGTTGTTTGACCTCCAATTGAGGTCCAGAACTTGGTCTACCAGGGTTACCAGTAGCCAGAGGCCATGGGTCCCAATCTGTAGCAAAGAATGGTGGGACCTCCAGTGTTGTTCCTGCAGGGGGAACAGCTTAGACAGGTGGTAGGCAGGGAGTCAGGGAGGCATGGGTTATGAAGGCCATCCATACCTGCAGTTGCCTTGCTTGCTGGAGATCCCGAGTTTGGAGTCCGAAACGTTTGAGTTTGGGTAGCTGGAGGGGTGCGGTGTAAGAGGGTCGTGCATCGGACCACGGAGGCTGGAGCTTTTTTCCCCGACTGGTTCGTCTGGGTCTTCGCAGCCACGAAGCGTGGAGATGAGGTGACCTCTGGATGGGAACACTCAGAGCCCGTGTCTGGATCTTCTGGAGGCTCCCACCCGGGGGCGGTACCTGAGAAGATCACACTCTCAGTCCTCGAGGGCCTCCAGAGCCTGCTCTCAAGTGACTGGACTACCCTGGAGGCTACCCTGGAATGTCCACTCTATGGCGAATCTGCCCTCATTCTGCAGACAGCAAGGGCTCAAGCTCCTACCTGAGCCGAGAACCTTTGAAAATCGGAATCTCCCCTAAAGCCTGACCTTCAGTTCATGCTCAGAGCTACCTGTTAGTCACCATCACCACTGTGCAATTTCTGTGTGCCTACATCCTTAGATTCAGGGCATCTGAACGATTCCCCAGGCACGAGTACATTTTCCCGGCCCCTTTCCTCCAAGGGGAGTCTGGCCCATCAGTGGCGATGAAAACCAGACAGGCAGTATGTCCTGGGTTCCTTGCTGGAGTAGGGAAGGGACAGGGTCTGGGAACTGCTATTCTTAGGAGACTTGGGACCTGTCACTGCCAACAGAGGTATGCCTGTCCTCTGTGAGGTGTGGGAACTCTCTCTTATTGGGCCCTCTACAGAGCTAGGTTCTGAGAATGGATGGATTCTCAGGCAGTCTTGGGAGCCTTGAACCTGTCCCTAACCTGACCCACTCAGAAGAACAGCCGACAAGGCCTGGTTCCTGAGACTGTGTAAGGTCTACAGCTATATCCTCTAATGGAAAGAAGGGGACCAGGAGGAGGGGGGGTCCTAGAACCTACAGGAATGAGCATCATCCTGAAGGTGCTACCTGTGCACAGGGCCCGGGGGTCACTGTTCTCAGCCAATTTGACTTTCGGGCTCCGTGAGGGTGGTGGGGCCTTGTTAGAACCCTGCTCTCAGGACAGTACCCATCCTGGGAGCCAGAGACTCTGCACCACAGGCTGAGATGAATGACCTTGAGCTCCGGACTTCCAGCCGTTCCAGCACTGATGCAGAAGTCAAGGTCCAAGGAATCCGGGCCCCACGCAAACCATGGCTCTCTTTCATGTGGAGTGAGCTCAGAGATGCTTGCCTGTGGCAGGGCTGACTGAGCCAGGGGAAGGGGAGCCATTTAGTCACAGCTCTACCAGTTCCAGCCTAGCTGAGGAGATCCCGGAGCCTCAGTCTGGGGAAAGCCCAGGGAGCTCTCATTGGCAAAGGGCACCTCCATGTTTTCCTTCTCTCTCTCTTCCTGCGTATCTAACAGTCCCTCTCTTCAGTGTTATCACAGAATAACCCACGCTGCTGCCCCGGCCACTTCTGACTGCTCCACTGTCTCCCTATGGGAGGAACAGTTTAGGAGCCACGGCTTGCGGCTCACGCTCAGGCCTACACTGAGGCTGAAGAAGCCAGTTCCCGGTGGAAGTCTAGCTCCATGACTTCTGGCCCCAGCAGCCCTGGCTCTGTACTATATGGGGCACATAGTTTCCCTTCCTACCTCTCTGAGTGGGCAGCACCCTAGGGATTAATGAGACATCTAGAAGTCAGGGAGACAGGATCTGAAGCCCGTCAGGAGTTCAAGAAGGCCTATCAGTATCATATATCCCTGCCATGCACCACGAGACACTTGCCCACACATCCCGAGCCCTGGGTACGAGGACAGCGAGAGTCCATGAGCTGTCTGGTCACGTGTTTCCCTGACTGACCGTCTCATCACTTCCTCCTTTCCAGGAAGTGACTGTCATCAATGGCGTTTGCTGTGATCTTTGATGACTCAAAGCCTGAGTGCTCCAGTCTGTCCCTCTGTCTTCATGCACTGAGTGGAAGTTCACTGCCTGAACAAACCACAGGGGGCGATCAAGAAGAGTCATGCCATCTATGAATGAGTGTACTGAGTGGCCAGAAGAGGGAAACTTGGAATGCTGAAGTCAGGAAGCTCAACAAGAAACTATCCTTATCCTCCCACTGCCTCAAGCCTAGAGCAGACAGGGTCACAGAGGTCAGGTTCACTCAAGGGGATGCTCCTCAGCATGGAAGGATCCCAGCAGGTTCTCAACTCACATTACCCAACAGTCTACTCCAATGCTGACCTCACAGAGAACACCATCAGGCTGCTACCTGGACTTGTACTAGGAATGAGCACCTCAGGCAGATTGGCTACTGTAACACACCTAAACAATGAGAGAGTGCAAACTGTCTCCTGTAGGAAGCTGGAAAGATTAACCAAAGCAGAAAAAAAAATAAAGAAAAGTAAGAGGCTAGAGAGGCATGGACTGTCTCTAGACTCTAGGAAGCAGAGGTGGAGTGAAGAAATCATCAGCTCTATCACTGAAGGTGGGAACGGGGAGGGGAGGAACCTCCATGGAATTTTGCCCCAGAGAGGACTTTTGGCCACGATGCACTGACTGGAACAGGACTGGAGTTTCTGAGGAAGCTAGAAAAGCACACTACAGCCAGCAGACCTCACCAGTAGGTGGTGTGATGCATGGGTGAGACTTGGTGAGTCCCAGTTCATTCCAAAATCTCCACTGGAGACAGTTAAGCTCAGATTACAGAGCAGGGCCCCGTGGGCATGCCCACTCACTGAACCTGAACCAGGAGGGCAGAGATCAAGGCCAGGGGACCCTGCAGGGCAGATTAGCAAAGAACAGACATCTGAATCAAGGGAGAACTGCAGAAATATGCAATGGGTTTCCTTAAAGGCTTTAGTTGAATTTCAAATCATTTGTGTAGGCTGAGTCTCTTCACAGGGAAAACAGACAAGTGTGTGCATTTATGCGGGCGTGAGAGAAGGAGGTGTGTGTGTGTGACGTGAATGAGGACTCAGAGGTTACACAAAAGTCACACAAGATTAGGCGGTCTTCAGGGCCCCACCAGCCAGAGAGCATAAGTGATGTCAGCAGAGCCACAGAAAGGCCATGGCCTGGAAGAGGAGCTCCTCCTGTTGTTCTAACCTAGTTTAAAAACAAGACTCTGAAGCATTAAGTTGATCTGTAAGGAAATTAGTTGCCTACCAGAACAAAACCAAGGAAGAAAACACAGCCCAGTCAAGTCCAGAACATACCATCTACAATGAGCAACACAAAGCAATTACTTTTGAGGGGAACCAGGAAAATGTAGTTAAAAAATCAAAAGGAAAACCAATCAGAAGAAACAAAGAAATAACTATGATGATGGAATTATGAGACAAAGACCTTAAAGCCACTATTATAAATGTACCCAAAGGTTTAAAGACTACCATGAATATAACTGAGAACAAGGAAAGCTATAAAAAAGAATTTGCAGAGATTAGATATTGTAGAAGAAAACATTAATGACTTTAAAGCAGGGAAAAGTGAAGCACAGGGGATAATTAGGCTGGAAAAGTAAACACAGATTGACTGTCAGCACCATCAGATATCTAATGCACATGCAATTAAAGTCCAGGGAGAGGAAAAAGAAATCAGGGAAGAAAAATAAAAATCTCCTGGTCAAAGCTGATGAATCTCAACAAAAATCAGATTACTAAGAACTAGTATCACGGGTTCGCACTTAGAAAGGCCAGAAGGTTGGAAAGATGACTTAGTGGTTAGGACCTAAATTCATGATAGACTCTAATACACCAAAGATGTATACTATAAACCACAAAGTGAAAAACAACTAATAGCAGAATATTAATGGAATAAACTTAAAAACACTTGATTAGTACTGCAGCAGGCAAAAAAAGTAAGAGTGAAAATGAATGATATGAACAAACAGAAAAATATATAGTGTTGAATGAAATCCAATCATATCAATAAGCTATATTAAATATAAATGAATTAAACTTTTCAATTAAAATGAAATAGTTCATTTATTGTACTTTTTGTACTAGAGAATTGTATATTCTTTTTTCTTTTCACGATAAGGTTTCTCTGTGTAGCTCTGGATGGTCTGACACTCACAGACAACCTTGCGCCTTTGCCTCCTGAGAGCTAGAATCAAAGTCATGTACCATCATGCCTGGCTTATACATTCCATTTTAATTTGAAGCTTAAAACAAAAACTTTAAATATTCTAAAGGGGAGGAATACAGATTTGACACAGTGTGTGCATCTAACAGGATACATTCAAACAAACTAGGCAAAAATGAATACATCTTAGAGACTGGAAGGTGAGGATTTTGAGGATTTTGATTTACCTTATCAGGATTTTATTAACTTAATTTAACTAACACTGCAAAACATATAACAAACTTACCTATGATTAATTAATTAATTAATCAATAATTTTGGTCAAGTGAACAAGGAACATATAGCAAATAGAGGCCATTTAGATGGTAGATCATAAAACAAAACTCAATAAATTACAAAGATTGGAAATCACGGTATGTATTTGACCATAATAGAATCAAATTAAAAATTAATTAAAATTTTTAAATAATTAATTTACTAATATGTGGAAAGGGAATCTGTTTTTTAAATGATGTTTCCTATGAAGAAAATGCCAGGTTTGGCAATGTAAGTGTTGAATTTCTATAAAAATATTTATAAAAAGCAATTCCAATTCTATATAAATTCTTCAAAAAACCGAAGAGAGGAATTTTCTTTGAAACTGCTTCTGTGAAACCATTATGTTCTGACACACAATAAACACGAGAACGTGACAGAAAGAACATGGCATTGGCTGAGTTAAAGTGCATGTGTGTTGTGAGCACACTCACCTGTGTGAGCATGTATGGAGGCCAGCGGTCAGCCTCAGGGATTTCTGAGATAGGGTCCCACCGAGTCCAGAGCTCACTGTGTTCACAGGAATGGCTGGTCGGCAGGGCCACTGCTAGCACTGGGATCGCAGGCACACGCTGCCACCATTCAGCTTTTAGGTGGGCGCCGGGGACCCAAACCCAGCTCCTGGAGCTTGCACGCCCAGCACCCCACTGAGCCGCCCACAGCCTAAACAACTAGCTGTTCTTAAACACACACCTACCAGACGTGCAGCCACTCCACAGAGACGGCGGCTCGCCTGCATGAGATCCAGATATTCCCCCACGGGGCTGGACAATGTCTATCCAGACCGTGGGCTATCACTTGCCATTTGTCGTTCAGAGCTTTGGTCAACGACAAAGCCCAGCATATGGGGATCACATAGCACTGCACCCGTTAATAAAGTCACAGCTATTGGTTGTGCAAGTGGCACTTTCTGATGTGCACAACAGAACACCCTAATGATACCTCTCACCTTGTGCCTGACCTTGAGGGGCGTGAGGCTGCATTCAGAGTGAACTACTGAGGGCAGGCGACCTCCGTAATGGAGCACACTCTGTCGCAGTCCACATAAGCTGGGAATGAAACCTCATCCGCAATAACATAAGCAGGCTGGGGGGTGGGGGTGGGAACAGCACATGAGGGCTGGCGAAAGGGCACAGCTGACTACGGACTGGCATTCATTATCTGAATTTTGGTACACCCATGGACCGAACAAAAGCTTACCACTTTTACATTATAAATGGTGGGAACTTCGCTATGGGATCACCACATTTCACCAATGTTATTTAGTGCTTTAAAGACTCACTGAAAATATTTACTTTCTTGATTAAGAACCCTTCGTCACCCCACTGGTTGATCACGGGCACATTCCTAATTTAGGATTGCAGTTCCATGCCCTTGGGAGAGTCTGGTTAAATGTCAGAGAAAATCCTGAGAAATTTTACACAGAAGTGAGGAGAAAACACGCTCTGGAAAGCAAAGCAACTGACCAAACTCCCTTGACTCTCTGCACTTCAAATTCTCTCTGCAAAGCCCTCGCTGGGATGGCTCTTCTGTGTGCATCGATGTATGTAAATGTGTAGATCAGAGTTGTGTACATTAAATATACATTAACCTCACTGTGATGGCATCTTCAGTGTGTGCATCCATGTACGCAAATGTGTATATGTAATCTGGGTTGTGTACATTAAATATATTGTTTTAAATCAGAAATGTTGGCAAAGAAGAGACATCCCAATACTGCAAGTTCCCCCAGCTCATATCACATTCATTTTCTGATATTCTTAACTTTAATAAAATATAGGCACAATGGCTCATTAAAAGACATACCATTTACTAGCAAAAACCAAACACAACACAACAAAACAAAGACAAAACAAAAGCATTAAGAATCCACATTCATCTCAACAGAAGGAAAATGCCACACAACCCTAATTTGCAGGCCCAACTTCCAGTGAACTGAGGGAAAGGCAGCCTGAGCTGACGAGGGCCGCGGCGGGAACCTGCTGCAGCCAGCACAAGGGTGTCCATGAAAATGATGACACTTAGTGGTCAGCAGCTGAACCCTGTGAGGGGGCGCAGGCAGGTGCGCACACTCATTTCTTCCATTCAACACCGTACAACACACCTAAAACAAGACTGTGAAGAGCACAAGCCCTCAGATCTCAAAAAGAAGACAGACCAGGAGAGGAGTTGCTTCTATTAGCAGATCATTTTACCATGAACAAGAAATCTACAAAAGAAGAAACCTACAAGGACTGACAAGCAAATTCAGTGAACCTGCAGGATAAAACGCAAAATTCTGCTACTCCCATGAAACAGCAGGAACAATTGGGAAATTCCAGTTTAAGAATTACAGTAGCATCACAAGACACAAGATACCTAATGAAATAGGTGTTAAGACCGAAGAGCACACACAGCTGAGAGAACTAATGAAGCCCCAGACCCTTGGAGGGCTACATTGTGGCCAAGATTGACTGAGAGACCCAACACCGTGGCCATGATGGGCCCTGAAGCCCCAACACCACTGCAATGCCATTGCTCCTCAAGCTGCTCCACAGAGTCAGTGGAACCCCCTCGAAACTTAACTGACTTTTTCTTTCTGACCCACTCATCTTCCCCCCTTCACTTCATTATTATTTCGGTAGAAACTGGCAAGCCTCTAACATTTATGTGAAAAAGTAGAGTTCCTAGATGAGCCTATATTCTTTACAACGGGAGGATAAAGCGGAAGGTCTGGGAAGAGGTGTCTGAAGACCTCCTGAAGAGGTGTAGTAAATAGGAGTACTGGTGCACGGAGAAAAGTCGAACAACGAATCCACGGAAAAGAAAGACATCCCTTGGACATTCAGCTGCTTCCAGCAAGGGCACCAAACCACTGAACAAGAAAAGGTAAGCTCAACAAAGGCTGTCAGACAATCCGGAGTCTACACAGAATAGGACCAGCCTCCTACCTCACCTCAGCCATGGGCTAATGCAACTCAACTGCAGCCCCAAATGTGGACATTAAAATGATTTAAAACATTGCAAACAGCAAGGAAGAGACCCTCACCATTATGAGGTAGGCAAGGATACCCCTGAGGAAGGATTCAGAAAGCACTGTAGAAAAGAATGATAAACTGTTTCATGAAAGAAAATGGCCTGCTCATCAGTGGATGCTGCATGGAAACCACCAGGTAGGTCTGCCAAAGGCTGGGAGAAACTATCCATGTGATGAAGGATGCAGACCAACTCACATGGACAAAGAGTATCTACAGCCAACAAAAAAGGGACAAAACCCGGGGTGGGGGAGTTCCTGGGGAGGCTGAGATGCTAAGGGCATTTTGGAAAATGGCTTGTCAGTCCTAATAAAAAAAGAAACAAACCTATTCCCTGGTAGCTCCACCCCTTGGTATTTAGCCTCAAGGAACCACCCATAAGGCCACAAGGCAGCACAAACCTTTCAGAGGAATTCTACTCATGTCAGCCTGACGCTGGAACTGACCCAAGTGAGCAGGCAGGCGATCAAACAGACTCAGATTCTGCACAGTGGGGGATCCATCAGCAGTAAAAACGGAGCTCATATCATGATACACGTGGGTCTTAAAAATATTTTGTGACTGAAATCACAAGCAGACACAAGTGCACACATGGGACTCAGCAGAACTTCCGCAGCCAGGCTTTTGGATTGTCATCAGAGCCAGGGACACAAGGCCAACCATGGCCACCACCCAATCACACCTCCACACCCAACTCCTACCACCCCTACACAGACCTAATCCTGCAGCCATCACGACACCGTCTCCTGCCCAGCCTTGCAGAAGTTATCCTTTGCTGAAACTAGACCAAATCTCATGCCATATTTTAAACAGGTGCTTCTAAAATCCTAGAAGACATTGTTGAGTACCAGAGAAACATATCCAACAAACAGATGCAGAAAAAACAGTCTAAAATGGAGAGAAAAAAACAAATGGAAATCAGGAAGCAATATAGGGAGCCCTTTGGGAGGGAAGTGCCTGTATGTCAGAGACGAAGTTAGGGTGCAAGTGGGGTACCCCTTCCTCTCATATGCCAAGGGACTCAGGGTGAAGGTAAGCTTGCAGCTGCCTGGTGGGGTTCAGGATCCATTCCTTATCGACACGCTCTGGGAGGCAAAGAAAGGAGCACAAACACTGAAGCCCAACTGCCTTGTCGTGCCTCTCTAAGTACGTTCTGGGTAGCATCCTCTTTGGCACTGGGCACCAGCATTAGGAGCAGAGGTCAAATGGACAGAGCGGCACCCACAGTAGATGATCTGGATGCATAGTGTATATCAGGGCCACAGCAGACACTACCTGAAAGTCACCACCTCCTGCAGGTGTCAGTCCAGACTCCAGATGGGAAACCTGGGCCCAGAGAAGCTCATCAGGCAAAGGGTCACACAACAGCCAGACAGTGAGCCAGACCAAGAACCACAACCCAGTGCAAAGATAGAATTGAAGCTGCCATCCAACGAGGAGTATGTCCCAGCTGTACCGCTCTGCCAGCAGGGAGGAGTTCCTTGGGAAGCTTCTGATTCCCTGTTCAAGCACTAGACCTCTCTCTCTCTCTCTCTCTCTCTCTCTCTCTCTCTCTCTCTCCCTACTCAGATGCCCTCAGGGGAGCCACCTGCCTATGCTGCTACTGAAGGTCTGGGAACACCCACCCGAGAAGTGGTTTAGATGCTGTGACCTCCACAGGTTGTCTTTCATTCCATACCCCAACTCTTCCCAGTTCTGAAGTAAGGTGTCCACACAGGGAAATTAGCAGAGGCTCCTAAACACCCCATCCGAGTATCACAGAAGCCATGTGCATCCCGTCTCACAATGTCTATGTCCACCTGTATAGGAAGGGGTGGAAGGCTGAGGTCCTCTGTCTCACACACTTAGGGGTGGCCTTTCCTCTGACTCCCATCTTCAGAAAGGCACCCAGGAGTCACCAGGTAGGCTGACAGGAATCCAGAGTGTGGAGAAACAGCAGTACCAGATGGAATCCCTTTCTATCTTATCAGCAGAGGAGTAAGGGATTATAGTCATGGTCAGCAGGAAGCCCACCATGCCTGGGCCTGGTTTTCAGGTTTTTGGCCTCACATATTAGCACGCCTTCTGCCTTCTTAGTTTTCTAAGAAGTTTTCCATCATAGCATAGGGCTGCCTTGCCCAGGTGCCCTCCCATCAGGTAGGCTGGACCTTGGTCCTACATGCTAAGACAGACACTATGGAGACGGATGCAGAGCCAGGAACTTCACACGTGCAGGTGTTTGGAGAAGAGGACCCACTGCACTGCTTGGATAAGCACTCCCACTCCCTGATGCCCGGTATGAGAGGCAGTCCTCTGAGCTACCGTGAGAGAGCTCCGCCCGATTGGTTTCCGATGCAGAGCAGGCTTTCTAGGCTCTCCTACCGCATAGCCTACCTCATGGCTCAGGCTAGACCCAGACACCCAAGAGCCCAGACCCAAGCTCACCTTGCTGACTCCTTCCCAGGAAAAGCTACAGATTTTGGTCAGTGGCTAACCCCTGCCCCTCCCCAGGCCTCCCCATCCCCCAACTGGAGAAGGGACTCACTGATGGGGGCATGTAAGGCCACGTGCTCCTGGTACGGCGTGTAGTACTTGTACTGCTTTCCACAGAACTCACACGTGTAATTGCCGGTTTCTGCAGAGGAGAAGAAAGTGTGAGAACAGGTGCTTGTGCCCCACCCCCAACAAAACATCAGCCTCTCTTAGCCTCCGACTCCTCTTCATTCTTGGACCACGAGCCAGACTCAGCTGGGACTGTGAAGCTGCACTGCCTGGTTCAAATCCCAGTGTGGCCTCTCTTGTAACCTCTGACAGAGCTCTATGTGTGGTGGGGGTGCAGGGAGAAGGGGCAGTTGCATGTACACATGTGTGCATGGGTTATCATACGTGTGGAGATCCAGTATCAACTTTGAATATTTTTCTCCAAAGCTGTTTACTGTTTTGAGACAAGGCCTCTTGCTGGACTCAGAGTTCACTGATTTGGGGGAGCTGGCAGGCCAGGTTGGTCCAGGAATCCACCCTATTTGCCTTCCCAGTCTGGGATGACAGGTACACGCTGATGCCCCTGGCTTTTAACACGAGTCCTAGGGATCTGAACTCAGGTTCTCATGCCTGCATGCAAGCACTTTACCAACTGAGCCAACTCTCCCGCCCCTAACCACGCCATGCCTCCATCCTTGTACCTGTAAAAGGAAGGTAACGGAAGGGCCATCCTAGAGGATCACTGCGGGATTAACTCTGAGTGGCAGCCCTGGTGCTCAGGGGACCCCAGCCGACTCGCAAAGCCAACCCTTCCATCTCCCTTTCTGCAAGCCCTGCCCACTGCATGGGTCACAACCACAGTCCCCACGTGTCACCCACCACCAGAGCTGGGGTCACACCTTTTAGTTCTCACTAGACCTAAATATTTATTTATTTACATATTTATTATTGCATGTGCCTAAAGTACATGTGGGTGCATGTGTGCTACAGAGTACACGCAGAGGTCAGAGAACATGGGTTCTGTGATCAAGTCCAGGTTTTAGGCATACGAGGTGAGCACTGGTCCATCACTAGACTTTTATCTTTATATCTCTCTAGGTTCTGCCTAAATTCTCCTTTAAAACATCTGAGGTAAAATGGTTCTTTTGGGACAGTGCTAAGATAGGAATAAATACAAGCTCCCTACACCAAGGGGAACATCTTCCCCCAGGGCATCACCAGCTGCCTCGCCCTGCCCCCACACTCCATCACCCTCCTCTAGGGCATTTCTCTGCTGCTACCATTTGTCTGGCTCTTATGGCCTTGAATTAGCCAGCCCTGATCGATATCCTCTTTGTAACCTGGTGTATTCAATCGACAATACTTTGTGGACATCTTGCCCAATCAATACGTATTGATCTCCAGGACTGCCTTTATCGGCTGCATGGCTCCCATGGGGCTTGGGAATTTGCTGAGCCAGTTGCCCTCCACCAAGGGACATTCGGATTGTTTCAAGTCACACTTACACACACACACACACACACACACACACACACACACACACAATGCTGTAATCCACATGCTTGCAGGGGTTTTGCATATTTGCTCATTAGTTTCTCACACGATCACAAAATCAAGCTCACTGCTCAGGAGCTGCCTGTGATTCTAGGGACACTGAGGCGGGGAAGGGGCCACAGTACCATCCCCAGTCACATGGCACCCCTACCACCTCTCCAGTTTGCATAACTGACCTGGGAAAAACTGTCCACTTACACTACAGGTTTTATTTTCCGTTTCCTTGATTTCTAAGGAAATTGATTTTCTTGTATAATGAACTATTGCTTTCCTTTTGTGAATTTCCTTTAAAAACCACTACAGTCTTTGTAGATTTGTGATATCAACATTATGTCCCATGTATCACAGGCCGGCTTCACCTCCAATGGCTCCTCAATCTACATTGCTTTTCTCTCCCAAGATGGACGCTTTAGGATTTAGGATACGTAAACAATTTTAGGAGCTGACTCAGGAATGCCAAAAAGGTATGCATTTTAGTTCCTGTCAAGGTTGTTAAATCAACTGTATTAATTATATTATTCCAATATTATATAACCTTGTCCGCTTGCTCCAGCAGAGACTAAAAGCTGTGCTAAAGCCTCCATTCCACTGCTTTTCCGATTTACTTTGATATTTAGGTACATTATTGCTTGGTGTCTGAAAGCTTATGGCTCAGAATCTTTACTAGTGGGCTGAGAATGGAGCTATAGGTCAAAGAACTTGCCAAGCATGCAGGATGCCCTAGGTTCCCTTCCCAGTTCTGTGTAAACTGAACGTAGCGGTAACACTTGCAGTCCCAGCAAAAGGAAGGCAGAGGGAAGAGGATGGGATTCAAAGTGATTCTCATCTACCTTGGAGTCCTCAGTCACCCTGGGACATGCCAGCCAGTCCTGACACACCGCTCCCAAGTGGTTCCTGGACCATAGGAGCCAGACAGAAGCCCAGTATCTCTGGACTTGCCGAAGATCAGCTGAGAGAAAACTTCTATGGGCGTGGCCCATAAATTTATATTTTAACAAGAACATTCTAATGAATGGGAAAGTTTAAGAAGCATTGCTTGAACATTTAATTAACCCATTTATTAGTTCGTGTGGTATTAATATTATTAATTTCCCAGCGATCTGTCAGGCCGTGATCTCTACTTGTTTGCATGTGTCTAATGACATGCTCTGACGTTCCTCTGTTCACATTAAGCAGAGATGGCACCATAGTGGAGGCTGAGCAGAAACTGTCATGTCTCTGTCTTCAAGGAGCTGTGTAGAAAGGGAAACAGAATGCTCACACCGTCACATGACTTTCAAACTGCACCCATGGTATGCACACTCGAAACAGACAGTGTCTCAAACAGCCATGACGTGTCTGTTAATGTCTTTATGGGAGTAGGAAGATGTCCCCAACACACGCTGAAGCAAAGAGAAAGGATAAGGACTGAACTAGGTGCAATGTTCGTAGATCATTAGTGTTGGGATTATTTCAAATGAACTTGACAGCTCCTGTTTTCTCACTGGAGAGATTATACCATTTGCTTTTATTGTAATGATTGATTCGGTTTTACATGGTGAACATTCCTAATCCCCAACCCTGAAATGCTCTGAAGATGCCACAAGAAAGAAACCCCATGCTTCGAATCTTTGTGTCACATATAATGTCATTACAAATATTTAATGAAATTACTTAGAGATTATCTATGCACATATATGAAAGGTAAGCAAATTCTGTATTTAGACTTGGGTCCTATCCTAGGATATTTCCTTATGATATGCAAAAGTCTCTATATGCTTTCTGTTTTTCATGCTTCACACTCTCTGGTTTATCCTTCTGGGCTCTGCTGTGCACAGCATTGTGACCCTTTAATGTATGACTCAAATATCCACGTTTCTCTTTTTCTTGCAATTTTTAGTATTTTGGGGGAAAGGGGGGTCTCATATAGCTCAGGCTGGCTCTGAAGTCGCTCTGAGCTGAAGATGGCTGAGCGCCCTGAACTCACTCTGCAGCTGTGGCATGCATTCCCATGTTTGGTTTACAGGGTACTGGAGATCACACCCAGGACAATTTGTACATGTTAGGCAAGTACCTAACCTACCAACTGAGCTAATCCTGGTCCTTTTCGGTAACTCACCTCTGTATTTAGATTGTTAACACATACACTCAACTTCCATAATTAGATTTACAATGGTTTAAACAGAGTTCACAGTCCTCTTACCCTATAGCCTCCCAAGTGCCTACACATGCTCTATCAATCAGTTCCCTGAATATATTCTTTCAAAAAAAAGTTTTTTTTTTTTCCTGAATCCCCTCATTTTTATGCACGCCAATTCCAATGTGCTCTGGTGTAAAATTCTTCCAGCATTGTTCCTTCCAAACACACTCACTTTCTTCAGATAAATAATGTTGCAGAGAAGTCTCACCAAGTCTACTTGGAACTCAGGGGTAGATACAACTTGTTTTTTACATGTGGCTTTCTCAATTTTCCTCTTCCTGTCTACACTTTTAGAGCCACTAAGATCTACTGATGGTAAGATCTCCTTACCCTGACTCTGCCTGCACTATGACACACCTTTCAGACACACACCCACTCAGCAAGTTTCTTCTGTCAGATCTTTGTATTCTTTATCTGTCACACGGTCACACCATCGGCCCCCTGGAGCTGGTTCCCTGTTCTCACATCTCTTACCGTCTTCTATTAACGACTGTCCTTCAGGGTGCCAATCAGTTTTGTGAAGATCAAGTCTGTCATTTCTGACATGAAACTTTTCATTCTGCTTGTGCTCTGTTTTCCCCAAATCCTTTCTCATCTCACTCTGTGCTGTGCCTATCCAGCTGATGTCTGTTCATCATCCAATCCCAAGCTCCTTTACCATCCAAAGGGGGAACTGAATTACCTGAGTGTAGGGCCATGTCTGTCATCCAAGATAAGTCTGCCGAAGACACACAAGTTCAAGTGTGGTTCCTGTCCTCAGGGTTTGTATGAGAGAAATGTCTCTGTCTACAGGAGGTTGCCCTACTTGGCTTTGTTCACTGAGATGCCCCTCGGATGACTTCAGTCGTCACCCTCTGAGCACCTAGTATGTTCCAGGCACAGTGCTACAGCATAAGCAGTGTGTGATCTCATTAACATCTACCAAGTCTGCAGAGAGCATTTTCCTCACCACTATGGGAGGCTGAAGTACAAGCGGCTAACAGACTGAGGGGAACCATAAACAAGCTGACTGAAATAAGGCTGTGGACTGGCTACTTTCACTACCCTGCTCTTGACCCCACACTGTCTACAGCTTCTTGAAGGCTAATATCCTGAGCCTGCCTAGCCCAACCAACAGGCAGGTACACAGCTGCAAGGCTGGAGCCACTGCCTTTCTAGCAGAGCGGCTCGGGCTGCCTCCCTCCCCCAGCCCCGCCAGCCCTTGGCCCCAGGGTCCCGCATACTTGGTCCAATTTTCTGGAAAGGCTCTGGAGGCTCCTCCTTCACCTCATCCGTGGCCACAACACCTTGGTCAAAGGGGTCTGTGGGAGAACACATGACCTTAGCATGCTGGTCACCCAGGACACAGGAACCCAGCTGGAGACAGAGAAAACGGACAGCCACAAAGACTTACCTGCCCGATTCTCGGGAGCCCCTTCCACACTGAACACTGTACCCAGGCGGGAGGCGACAGCCGCAGGAGGAAAAAAGCAAACAGAAGCCCTGTTAGTCCCTGGCCACAGGGACCTCTTCGGGTCATGCCTAGCGTCATGGGGAGGCCTGACCTGGCCCTTGAGGAAACACAGGAAGGCAGGGCCACGGTAGGGCACATCTCCATCCTGGCCCATTCCTCTTCCTAACTAGGGGCAGGGGCCCACCCCAGACACTTGCTGCTCAGAAATCCCCAGCATGTATGTGACAGCAGAGGAAGTTCAAGGGGAAGAGAGGGAAAAGGGAGGCGAGGGGAGGTCATGGCAGAGGCAACCTGGTGTTATATCACTGTTCAGTGGCTGAGGTGGAGGGCCACACAGGTAGCCTCATGTCCTTTTTGGACCCACAGCACTCTTCCTAGGACTCTTAGGACTCTTTAGATGAATGTCTTGAACTTATTGTTCTAACTTTCACCTCTATAATCTAAGATGCTCAGAGGACATCATTCATCTCAACAAACTGGTTTAATGTTACTACATCATGCAAAGACTCAATATAAAATTATAAAATGACATGAGAGAAACTTTCAATATTTGACTCATGGTGACCTATAAAAGCTCCAGCAGTTTCATTTGAATCAGCCACAGAAGAGAATGTGAAAATGCAGGGACAATCCCTCCCCAGAATCTTGCAACAGAGATCCCTCTCCCCAGGGCTCTGTCACTATGTGGGGACAGTGTCCCTGAGGAAGGCTATTTCTCTGGTGTGACTCCAAGAGTGAGGGGCCTGACTCACCATCCACGGCATGAAGGTCTCGGTGCTCCTGGAAGCAGCTGTAGTATTTGTATTTCTTCCCACAGATGTCACATGTGTACCTGAAATTGTCTGGTGGGGGAACAGAAAGACACTGAGTTTAGTGGAAAGACCCTGGTCACCTGGGGTGAGGTTGCTGGTCAATACGCCAGACTCTGGAACCAAGATGGGACCAACCCAGCTGATCCTGAGCTGTCTGAGTCCAGTCGGAGCGGCTGTCCTGCTCACTCCCCGGACCTCTGAGCAGCTCCTCCTCCATGCTTCTCAAGGTCCCCCTCCATACCTCCATCAGTTTCCACTCCAGGGCATCTTAGAACACACGCTGGGACTACAAGGCCTGAACTGTGACAACAGGAGCCCTTTGTGGAGAGTCGTGACACCAAAACCAACTCCTCAACCCTCCTTGTGAGACCTAAGCTCTCCAGGCCCTGATTCTAGATGAGTCTCATCTCTCATCATGGAAGAGCACTGCCACAGTTCCCCTGGTGAAGGCCAGATATAACCGTGAGCAAGGTGCTGGACCAGGCCCTTCCCCTGTGTTCTCTCAACCAGTCTTTTCAATAGAGGGGAGAAGCAGTCTCCCATTAATGAGCAAACTAGAGAGAAGTGATCTGCCCCAAGTCCTAGAGTAAGGTGGACTGGCTTCATGAATATGTCGACGCCCCTCGCAGCTCGTGTCCACACCCTGTGTGACTCCTCTCAAGGTGTTTCTATTTAGGAGAATGTGGCCAAAGCGAGTAGCTGTCACTCTGGAAGCTAGGTGGCAGGCAACCAGGGAACTGGCCTGCTCAGTCTGTGGTTGGTTGCTATGTTCTTAGTCAGGTCATGGGCAGATGCAGGGGGCAGGGAACTGAGTTTGGCCCTCTCTGCTAATGGGAACCGAGGCCCTCGGAGCCACAGTGTCAGAGGTACAGAGTCCTGCAGCCCACACTTTCTCTAGCAAACCTAAAAGAAAGCCCTACCAGCTGAGCCCCGGGATGAGGCCACAGTTCTGATCAAATCTGCCTGAGGTCCTGTGGGAATCTCTATGCCAGAGGACCCTGAAAAGCCACACCATAGAAATTCCCAGCCATAGAAACTGGGAGAAAGCAGGGTGGGCTACTTTGAGTCATTAAATTTTATCGACCTGACAGTTAACACTGGTTCAAGTTTGTCTGTTTCCTGGTCCTCCCACAGTGAGACCAGTAGCACCCAGACCCATATCTCTCCCTCCAGGGCACACCCTCTTGCATTTGAACTAGCTCAGACCTGGTGAAATGTGTTCCTCTGGTTGCTCTATGGAGGGTCCATCAATTTTATCTGCCCTGGTTCCTAGGATACAGAGGTACGGCAGTTTACTCAAGACTGTACAGAAAGAAGAAGAAAGAGCTAGGGACCAGTATTCACTGAACTTCAAGCTAGAGCCGAGTCAGGGTTCACAGTCTTTCCTTGCTGGGATAAACCATGCTGGGGTACTTTGTTCTGGCCCCATTCCCTGCTCCTCAGCACCAGGTACAGGAGTCAAAAAAGTACTCCATGCCAAGGCTGTTCCAACTGTGGAAGGGTGAGAAGGTTTCCAGTCCCTTCTCAGCTGGACTCGGGATGGAGGACATCAGCCACCCTTCTTCCCACCTCTGCCAGCCCCTGAAGGTGTCTTAGTAGACACCAGGGCTGCAGAGATGAACTGCCAGTCAGGAACCACAGTTTGGGCAGTAGTAGACATTCACAGGATGTGAGTACCAGGGTCTTCCAAAGGAGAGCTGGAGGGGGGGGGGATGAGAGGTGTGGTCTCTGCCCCCTCATTTTCCCTATCTAAATTTTGAAGTAGGGGGCACAGATCAGGTGATTCCAGGTCCTTCCTTCAGCTTCTACTTCAGCATCACCTCCTTTCCCATGGCAAGCCAGGCAGCTCAGAGAGACTCCTTCCCTTCATTCTGGACCACCTAGCCCATAACCCTCAGCTTCTCCCACAGTTCCACCACCTTCTCTGGATGCCAGCAGGGAAAGCTACCTGGGGGCTAACCCAGATGAGGTTTCGTCCTGTCTGTGGATGCTGCCCACTCAGCTCTCATGGGTCTCTGCCCGCTGCCTCTCCTGACACCAGGCCCGTTCCTCTCTCCACAGGCCACATTTCCCAGCTCCAACAAAACACAGACACCCCCCCCAGCCCCGCCCCGCCAGCTTTCTGAGACTGAAAACCACCCCCATCTGCCCTGCTGAATCTGCACTGTCTCCTCATGCTCCGGAACTTTAATGGAGGAGTTAAACAGGAAGAGACTTAGTCCCAAAAGTGTCTGCCAGTGAAACCGTTCCCACAAGAGAGCCCGGCATCTCAGAAAGGCCACCATGGACCTGCTATGGGAGGTAGATTCTGGAGCGAGACACCTAAGCCCAAACTCCACTCTACTATTGATAAAAATGTGACTGAATTGGGACACACTCTAATGCCTCTGTGAGATGGGAATAGCAGCTCCCTGTAATGAAGAAAGGAACGAGATCCAGCTGTAGGGCATTTTCTTAATTAGTGATTGATAGAGGAGGGCCCAACCCATTTTCAGAGACACTATCCCTGGGCTGGTGGTTCTGGGTTCTAAGGGAAAGCAAGCTGAGTAAGTCATGAGAAGCAAACCACTGAGCAGCTCCTCTCCATGGCCTCTGCATCAGCTCCTGCCTCCTGGTTCAGGTTCCTGCCCTGTTTGAGTTCCTGTCATGACTTCATTCAGTGATGAACAGTGAGGAGGAAGTGTAAGCCAAGTAAACCCTTTCCTCCCCAGGCTGCTTTTGGTCATGATGTTCATCACAGCAGCAGAAATCCTAACTAAGACAGAACACAATGGCTACCACCCCAACTAACAGGGTAAATGTCACATGGCAGGGTTTCCCAAAGAGTTAGGAGACGGAGATGGAGCTCGGGGAGTGTATGGCAGGGACTGACTGGTCTTTGATCCTCTCATACTGAAATATGGATGAGTGGGCAGGTGTGTCTCTATGTCTGTATGTGACAGGATTATCTCCTTGCTAAATGTACGACAGGTCCTTGGACCTGTTATCCAGGCCCGCCGTATGGCTAACAAGCTACATGACTTCCACACCCTGGGACTCGGGGTCTCCGTGTGCAAGCGGCAGGGTGGAGTTGGAATGTTCCACAGGAGCCTTCCAGTCCTAGTGCTCTACAGCCTTGTGTCAAGGCTGATCCAGCAGCTCACTAGGCACAGAGCACTGCTGCTGGCTGGACCGAGGCTGGGACATAAGACCAAGACGACAGCATCCTGACCATGGGAAAATGGCCTGTATAGAGGAATGGGAAAATGAAGAAAGGTCTAAAAATCCTCCCACCACAGCACCAATACTAGGGAGTCTGTATAACGGAAGCCAGATAGAGCAACAGCCCACTGGGCGGCGTCCAGGGAGGCCAAGAAAGAAAGGATAAGTAGGGAAGGTTGTTAAATGTGTGGCTGACTACCGGCTGACCACAGAGTCTAGAGAAGAAGGGGGCAGCTAGTGAAGCAGACAGACAGGACTGGGCTGGGGAGAGACAGTCGCTGTGCCTCCTGGCTATAGTCTACGGCAGGCTGATAGCCAAGCTGAACCATATCAACTTTGCTTACCTTTCCAGAGTGGGTAGCTCTAAAAGAATGTTCTCGGGGCTTAGTCTCAAGTAGGGCCCTTCTTCAGCTCAACCCTAACCTCTTTTGTTTTTGAGTAACGTGTTATCTTTAAGTGCAGTGGTGCAACAAACACAGGCAACAAGGGGACATACTGGTTCACCAGGCCAGACCCTGCCGCCAACTTTACTGGTAGAATGTAGCCTCATGGTATCCCCTTGGAGCTCCCACTACAAGTGAAGGGCTGACGATGGAGATGCCACGACCCTGGCACAGCCTCCTCACCATCTGCTCCTCTACAGCAAACACTTCTTGGCCCCTACAGAACAAAGTGTTTGGGTATTAAGCAAGCAGCTTGGTCATGTTCCACCCACAAAGTGCTGAGGAACGGAGCCCTTGGCTCAAGAAGTAGATGTCAGGTCCTTTCAAGGGTGCCTAATCTCCTGACTTCCGTCAGCACCCCTTTCCCCTATGCCTGTGCTTTCTGCAGTCACAGGAGATGATTCCTCAAGAGCTCTGTGCACATGGCTGTGGGTAGCTAGACCACAGTCATCGCCCATTTCTGTCTGCAGCCCTTTATGTCAGCGTACTTACTTAGCCACTCCCAAGACTAGGCATCTGGGGGGCTTCTGCGTTAGAGCTGTCAGGAACAATGCACTAGAACAACCTAGTTTGTACCTCCTGATGGAGATGGGCCTAGATGCATGCCCCCATGAGATAATCATCAAGGGTAGAACTGATGGAGATGGACCGAGACACGTGCCCCATGACATAATCACCAAGGGTAGAACTGATAGAGATAGACCTGCACACGTGCCCTTTGAGATAATCACCAAGGGTAGAACTTGAGGCTCATGTGTACACAGCGGTAGGTGGGATGGTGGAAGGGCAGGGTGTACTCAGTGGGCTGTCTGCTTCTCATCCCATGGGGTTTGAGTTGGAGGGCAAGCAGGACCTGTGAGAAATTATCACAGGGCCCAGCATCTGGAACCAACTGTGCCCAAGGCTGAGGGTCCTCCAAGAAAACTTTCCCTGCATAGGCTAAGGACCCTGGGCCCATGAACAGGGTCCAAAGCACAGGGAAGGTTGGTTCCTCTTGGAGATATTCACAGTGGCATAGGACACCCATAGCAAAGATATCAGCTATGCCCACGTGAGCACAACTCAAGGTTTCTCAAGATTACTTGTCCAGAGAACCCTTTTTCAAGAGAACCCTCCTCAGAATGTGCAAGCTATGGAACCCACTTTGAGAAGGCCTGCTCTGATTTCAAAAGGCCCCTCTGGCCCCAAGGCAAAGGCTACTCAAGGCTGTTTCGGGGAGGGAGGAACGGCTCCTTTCCAGGCCCAGTGCTTGGCCCCCACCCACCCGAGAGGTGGGAAAAGTACTCACTGCTCTGGGAGGCGCCCTCCCCCGAGGTGGCTTCAGTATCTGCGAGAAAAAGAGAGAGAGAGAGGTAGGGGGTAGCCAATTGGCAAAGGTGATGGTGGGGCAGCGCCATGCTGAGGGAGAGACTGAGGGAGCAGCTGAAGGGAGTCCGGAAGTGCTGTCTATGCCTGGATCCTATGAGGGACAAGGTCACCTCGGACTGAACCTGAGCTTCTCTTCCCTGCCACCTGGCTCAGGAGGGGCACGAGCCAGTTCATTTGTCCCCAGAATTTCAGGACTGGCTCCTCTCGAGTTGTCAAGAGGAGCATGAGATGATATGAGCACATGGCCTTTTGGGGAAGCATCCCCAGAGCCCTCAAGGCCGAAACTAGGGCCTGAACTCCCCACGCCACACACACACTATTTCTCCCACCTCAAGAAGGCTTCTCCCTCCCTCCATGCCCCCCCTCCTATGGTTGATTTCTAGGGCCATCAGCGCATGGGGCCGCCGGCCGCCACTCACCTCGGTGCGCCCGCACGTGGGTCTGGAAGCAGTTGTAGTACTTGTACTTCTTGCCGCAGATGCCACATTCATAGGACCCTGGAAAACAGCGGGGAGGGCCGGTAAACCACCTTGCCACCATGAAGCCAGGACCAAGTGTCACTGGGCAGGGGGGTCCCTTGGCAGAAAAAAGAGCAATGAGGACCAACAGAGAAAGCACTGAGCTGGAGTTCATGAAGCTCAGCTTTACACCTACCTGTAACCACCTCTGTTCCCCGGCTTCCAGATCTGTAGGATAAAGGGGACAGCCTTGACTGAGTCCTGAACTCACACATCGAGAGGAAAAAGAGAGGGACCTAGAGTGCTCTGTGACGAGCCACCATAGGATGTCGCTCCTTAACTTCAGGCTGACCTGTCCCCAGCGTGGACAGAGAGGAAGACTACAGGCCTCACATCAGGCCACAGGGGTTTAGGTCCCCATTATGCACCTACCAGGTCTGACCTTGGTAGTTTCTCCAGACACAGTAGGCTGTGGTCTGTGCACGTCCCTCTGGTTCTTCACTCTCACTAGCAAGTGTCCAGTCCCACGAGAGACAAGCTCACCAAAAATAGCAATTCACATCTGCTGAGGAGCCATGGTACTCAGACACAGAGAACACCCCACAACACACACACACAGACACACAGACACACACACACAGAAAGAGAGAGAGAGAGAGAGAGAGAGAGAGAGAGAGAGAGAGAGAGAGA